CGGCCGCCATCTTGCCCCGCCCCCCGTAGAGGCTCCGCCCCAGCGCCGCCGCCTCCTCGGCCAATCCGAAGGCGCAGAACGTCAACGTCATCGCTTGGGGGGCGGGGCTAAACCCTTCCCAGCGATGCCCCGCCCCCCGGCACGCCATTGGCTGCTCGATGGGCACAAGCACCGCCCCCAAGGGGGAGGAGCCCCAGCATTGGCCCAGGGCGGCCTCGAGGGCGTGGCCGAGGGCGTGGCCAATCCGGTGCAAGGCCCAGGCCACGCCCACTCGGAGCAGAGCGCGGAGGGCGGAGCCAAAAGGGGGGCGGAGCCAGGGATGGGAGGCGACGAGCAGGGAGCCAATCAGGAGCCAGGTCCAGGCGGGGGCGGAGTTTGTCAGGCGGCTGCAACGGGGGGAGGGGAAATTGAGTAATTAGGGATTAATTAGTGATTAGTGATTAATTAGTGATTAATTAGTGATTAATTATTGATTAATTAGTGATTAATTATTTGTTGTGGATTAATTATTGATTAATTGTTGATTAATTAGTGATAAATTCGTGATTAATTAGTAATTATTGATTAATTAGTGATTAAATAGTGATTAATTAGTAATTAGTGATTAATTTGTGATTAATTTGTGATTAATTACTGATTTATTAGTCATCAATTAGCTATTAATTAGTGACTGATTATGGATTAATTATTGATTAAATAGCGATTAATTAGGGATTAATAGGCGGTTGATTATTGATTAATTAGTGATTAATTAGCGATTGATTATTGATTAATGAGTGATTTATTATTGGTTATTAAATAGTGATTAATGATTAAATGGTGATTAATTAGTGATTAGTGATTAATTAGCGATTAATTAGCGATTAATTAGCGATTAATTAGTGATTAATTAGTGATTAATTATTTATTAATTATTGGTTGGTGATTAATTAATTATTAATTATTGATTGGTTATTGATGATCTATCGGTTATTGATTAATTAATGATTTATTAGTGATTAATTAGCGATTAATTAGTGATTGATTATTGATTAATTAATAATTAAGTAATGATTAATTAGTGATTATTGATTAGTGATTTATTAGTGATTATTTAGTGATTGATTAGTGATTAATTAGCGATTAATTAGCGATTAATTAGTGATTAGCGATTAATTAGCGATTAATTAGTGATTTATTAGTGATTAATTAGTGATTAATTAGTGATTTATTACTGATTTATTAGTGATTTATTAGTGATTTATTAGTGATTAATTAGTGATTAATAAGTGATTAATTAGTGATTAATTAGTGATTAATTATTGGTTATTGATTGGTTATTGATTAATTAGTGATTAATTACCGATTGATTATTGATTGGCATTGATTAATTAGCGATTAATGCCCCACAGATCCCAAATTCCGCCCCACAGATCCCAAATTCCGCCCCATAGATCCCAAATTCCGCCCCACAGATCCCAAATTCCGCCCCACAGAT